CTGAGAAAGCTGAGGCTCCCCAAAAGGTTAAATGTCCTATGGCCAAAGCCTTGGGTTAAGCTAAAACCAAGTTCTGAGCTCCTCTTCTTTCTCCGCGTACTCTGAGTATGGGACTGAACAGAGCCTGTTAATCCCCAGGATCACTCCTCCCCCACAACCGAAGAGCAGATTTACCCAGAATAAGGAGGCTCTGATGGCACTATCATCAATGTCATCTCCATGCTCTGACTTCCAAATATGTCACTAGTGTTTTGTTTGTTTTTGAGAGCCCCCCCTCTGCCTACTAGCCATCTTCAGCTAGAATACACTCCAAGTATTTGAAACTCAAGATGCCTTAATTCAAACTCCAAGTAAGTTTCTCCCCCAACTTTCCCATTTCTAGTAATCGTCCCACCTGCCTCCAAATTACTGGGGCTTCAAAATCTCAGCAACAGCTCTGACTCACCCTTCTCCTTCAACCTTGACATGCATGTGGGCTGCCAAGTCTGGTAGATCATACCCTTACAGCATTCCTCAGTTCTATTTCATTTTCACGACTACAGCCCATCTATAGGTCCCCTTTACGTAAACTCTGAAGGGGATGCACTGTGTTTTTATTGTCTCCATGCTGGCTGCCAGGCTATTATCACCTTCTATGCCAAAAGATCTCTAAAGCAAAGTTTTGACCTTTAGTACCTATTCCCTACTGAAATTAAATATCAACTCTCCACCCCAGCATTCCAGGAACTTCCATCAAATGGCTCCAAGATATTTTCCTAGCCTTGTCTCCTTTATTCGCACCATATATTTTAGCAAAATGAACAGGTAACTTGTTGCTCATATTTCCTTTCGGCTTGGTATGCCTCTTTCATTCCTACGTAGGAATGAAAGTACTTCAAATGCAGCTTCTTTATGAATCTCTGTCATGCTCAGACTAGATGAAATGTCTCCTTCCAATCTTTGATGATGGTAATTTGAAACTTGGGATGCTTCTCTGTTCTGCCTTGGGTTATAGTTATCTGGCTACTTGGCATATCTGCTTGTCAGTTGAGGACAAGGATTCCCGACTTATCTTGGTAGCCCTAGGACATACTTTCACAGAGCAGGTCCTAAGCTAGACTTATTTAGTCAAAGTTGTTGAGAAAAATGTAGCTGCCCCTAAAGTGAATACTCGTCAATATCTCTCAAAGAGACTTTACTTTCTTCTTTTGCTGATTTCAAAATTGAAAAGAATCAGTCTGAAAAAGAACATATACCGTTTTCAATTCCTAGAGTCATGTTTTCTTTTTTTAAAGATTTTATTTATTTATTTGAGAGAGTGAGAATGAGAGAGAGAGAGGGAGGGAGAGCACATGAGAGGGGGGAGGATCAGAGGGAGAAGCAGACTCCCCGCTGAGCAGGGAGCCCGATGCGGGACTCGATCCCGGGACTCCAGGATCATGACCTGAGCCGAAGGCAGTCGCTCAACCAACTGAGCCACCCAGGTGCCCAATTCCTAGAGTCATGTAAGGAACCTATGTGACTGCAACTTTTCTTTTTTTTTAAGGTTTTTATTTTTTATTTGAGAGAGAGATAGTGAGAGAGAGTATGAGCAGGGAGGAGAGGGAGAAGCAGGCTCCCCACTGAGCAGGGAGCCTGAAGTGGGACTCAATCCCAGGACCCTGGGATCATGACCTGAGCCGAAGGCAGACACTTAACCGACTGAGCCACCCAGGTGCTGGACCGCAATTTTTCTTAAAAAATAAAAAACAAAACCCCCAAAACATAAGAACACAACCCTAACGATGGAACAAAAGCAATGAGACCACAGACTAAGACACAATGTAAAGGTAGAAGAGACATCACAAATACATTTGCCCACAGGGCACAGTGCAGAAAGAATTCTACCTAGCAAGGATTCAGAATCCTGCCAGGAGGGAGGTATAAAATTTGCATTAATGTGGGGACTTTCAGTCCCTTAGCAGCCATGGGATACTAAAAACCCAAAACGGAAAAAAAATAGTCAGAATTTCAAGATTCAATTCTTCAAAAAGAAGCTTTTTATTGCTTTGCAGATGAGATTTCCTAATTACACACACTGGCTTAGTGACCCTTCACTTAAAAGTACACTGAAAATTACTGTACTTTTACTCCAGTACTAAGTGTGACCGTATTTTTCACCTTGGCAGTCTAGGTTTTCAATATCTCTTTTTCCATACTTTTAAAATACATTCAAAACAGCAGCGTTGGTTAAGAATTCACTGAAGCAGAAAAGACAAGGGAAACTAAAGTAAATACCTATTTTAGTTTGAAATATTCTAAAAACAGAGTGGGCAGATAGGCTGATTATGCTGACTTCACTGACTACTTAAAATATTTTTTTCTTTCTTTCCATACCTTTTCTATTTAAATGCATTTTTCATTATAAGGTAATATAACTTCATCAGAGAATAGTTTGGAAAAGTATTAACCATAATATTATCAGTTTCAACGCTACTTCTGTTAATATGTTGGCATTATCTACTCTGATTTTTTCACTTTCCCTTCCCCTCAGGGGAAATCATGATGTATTTCTAATTTTGTACTCTGATTTCTTCACTCTACAAACCATAAACATTTTCAGATTGCTACAAGTTTTCCTAAATATTATTTTAAGTGGCTACATAATATTCCACTGAATAAATGCACTGCAGCTCACTTTATTATAACCCAGTTTATCTAATAAAAGATTTGAGCTGTATCCATAACCATTCCCTTATAATGAGATAGGTGGATCATTTCTCAAATTTTGTTTCAAATCGCATTGCAACAATTTTATGCACATAACTTAATCTATATCTTGGGTTATTCTATTATGATTGATTTCAAGAAGTAAGATTTTTCTTTTTTCTAAAGATTTATTTATTTATTTATTTGACAGAGACACAGCAAGAGAGGGAACACAAGCAGGGGGAATGGGAGAGGGAGAAGCAGGCCTCCTGCTGAGCAGGGAGCCCGATGTGGGGCTCGATCCCAGGACCCTGGGATCATGACCTGAGCCAAAGGCAGATGTCCAACGACTGAGCCACCCAGGCGCCCCAAGAAGTAAGATTTTTCTATCAGAGAGAACAGTAACTTCATCCAATTACCTTCTAGAAAATTTGTAACAATTTGCAAAGTCCAGAGCAATGTAGGAGAGTGTCAGTTTAACTGTGCACTCAGCTACGTTTTTTTTAATTTTTTTAAGGATTTTATTTATTTATTTATTTATTTAAAGATTTTATTTATTTATTTGACAGAGAGAGACACAGCGAGAGAGGAGGGGACACAAGCAGGGGGAGTGGGAGAGGGAGAAGCAGGCTTCCCGTGGAGCAGGGAGCCTGATGTGGGGCTCGATCCTAGGACCCTGGGATCATGACCTGAGCCGAAGGCAGACGCTTAACGACTGAGCCACCCAGGCGCCCCTCAGCTACATTTTTAACAAGGGAGGTCCAGGGAGAACAATTGCAGAAGTCAATGATATTCTGTTGTCAAATCAGAAGTCAGTTAAACTGTAATTTTCAGCCAACTATTTTGATAAAAGCATATAACTACGGACCCGATTAGTGTACACAATTTGCTAAAGCCCATTTTTTTGCCTATCTACTCTGTCTTTTAGCTACTAATACACAGATTTCCTCCCTTTATACATTTTTTCTTACCAAGCCAGACATTTTGCTAAGAGTATGTACTTATGTTGAGTCTATCCATTATTTATATGTGTACTTCACTGTATATATATGTGTATGTACTTCTATATGTTATTTTTCACCTATATGGTTTCATATGTACATCTGAGATGATAAGTGTTTTTGCATTTTTTTATAAAAATATCTGTGAATATTAAAAAGTGAGGTCAGGAGTGAGGAGAACAAGCTAATTTGATAGGTGATAATGACTGTGTGTACGTGTGTGTGCGTATCTGTTTAATATCCTTTGCTTATTGATCTACTGGGGTCCTCAAGTTTTCTCTTAGCAACGTACAGCTGACCCTTGAACAACATTGGGGTTAGGGGCATTGGCCACTGTGAAGTTGAAAATCCCCATATAACTTCTGACTCCCCACATAGCTTAACTGCTGATAGCCTACTGTTGACCAGAAGCCTCACCAATAGCATAAACAGTCAATAAACATATATTTTGTATATGTACTATATACTGTACTTACAATAAAGCTAGAGAAAAGAAAATGTTACTAGGAAAATCGTAAGAGAAAATACATTTACAGTACTGCACTAGATTTAATGAAAAAAATCCACATATAAGTAGACCCACAAAGTTCAAACCTGTGTTGTTCAAGGGTCAAATGTATATGATATAAAGATGAAAGTCATCATATTTACTTCCCAATCAGTGACCCCTTTCTTTAAATGTTGTCAAATTTGTTGATTTTTGTGTGTTTGCCTCTTCTGCCTTTAGGCTGAGAGGAGCCTCTCATATAGACCACTAGTTTCTCAAACTATGAACACTGAAGGACGGATGGCATCGCCTTCTCTTGGAGTGGCCTAGAGTGAAGTTCAGTCTTCACTATAGGTCCATCTCAGATCTTGGCCAGCTCTAGAATTAACCTGGGGACCATGGCAGAGTGGAAAGAGAGGTGCCAATTTTTGCCTAGGTCAGCTGGGAAGTCCAAATTATCCACTCTTCTTAATCAGCAAAAAACCCCTCAGCACTGGCAAGAGCACCAGACTAGACTGCAGATGAGACCCAAAATGGGCTACCCTGTTCATCCTGTAAGTTCAGAAGGTCTTTCAGGTCTGTGGCAGACTCCCCTTTCAGCAAACAGACGTGGACAAGCCCAAATTCTCTAGACTGGATACTTCATATAAATCACCGGGCCACATCTCAGCACCATTCCACAGCCCTGAGGAATGCTGGAATGCCACAACACACCACTGAGAAATGGCAAGTCCTTTGTCTTTAATTTCAGTATATACACTGAAGCAAGGGCGCTGAAGAACTTCAGGTTTGTTATTAGCCATGAAGTGGGTGAATGTCTGCAACAAGGAAGGCCCAGCACGTACCTGATTTCGCAGAGGCTGCTGTTGTGATGGCCGGTCCCTGTGTGTGTGGCTTTCTCGAGTAATTGCAGATGCACCAGAATCTACGTGAACTGACCCTACTGGAGTAGGCTGGAAAAGATAGAACAAAAGGTCAAATGGAAAACACGTCCAACTTAATGCCTCCACAAAGGAGAGCATCATTCTAATTCTAATAAAACAGAAGTGATTATTATTTTCAGCCACCAAGGGCAGTTTCTTCTCAGTTTGTTTATCTGCAAAAGGGAGGCTGCCCGGTCCTCAATAGCTCATTGAAGAGTAGCTCACCTTGGAAAATAAGAAAAACATCCTACAGTGGTGGGTTAGCATGCTCTCAGGCCCTGTGGACCCCTGGCCAGGAGAGCCAATTCAAGAGTTTCCTAAGGTTCTGGATTCCACTCCTCCAGAAGTCAAGTACCTTCACAGCTTATGTAGCACCAGCTTCTGGATCATTCAAATGAAAGTTCTTCTTAAGAACTGGCTTAAGTTCTGGTATCTTAGGACATATGGGCCATAATCTTAAAAACATATAAAGGAGTTGCTCTTACTTCCCAACTCTAGTAATTGCTACCTATGGCATCACCCTGAAAAGGTTGGCAAATATAAAGTCTACAGTCAAAGGAATGTTTTTCCCACAGACTTAAGCAGAAAATCTGGCAAGTCAAGTAGTGAGGTAGCGCTGGTCTGAGGTGAGGAGGTAAAACAGGATACTTACAATAGGCCTCCCGACCCAATCGTAGGCGTAGTCAAAGGTGTAGCCTTTCCTTTCAAAGAGGTCTGTGAAGAGGGTCCGTAAATACTCATAGTCAGGTTTTTCAAAGAAGTCTAATCGCCTGACATATCGCAGGTAGGTTGCCATCTCTTCTGTAGAAAAGAGGTGAAAGGCCATGCTCATGAGCTGAATGCTTCCCGTGGTGAGAAGCTCTGGGCCAAGCCACGATTATCTGGTGTTTTCTTTATGACCCAAATGAAAGTGATAAAACCTGTCTTGGTCTAAATGACAATAAAACGAAATGTGAATTTTCTGGAGAGCACCCTTATCTAGAGATACCAAGTCATGGTCACCACCTACTTCAAAGCTTTAGTCACACTGGTTGGAGCGTCCTTTTAGCATCCTACCTGGAAAGTTTTCACAGAGAGCTTCAATGGGAGTATTCCTTTTGGTGTCACCAATTTTTTGATATCTCTCTTTTAATGTATCAGCCTGTAGAGTAGAGAGAGAAAGTTATTTGGAAAGAGGTGCCAAGTAAGGGCAGTCCAGTATGTTTGGGGAGGCGACGGTTGTTTCACTCAAACTGGCAGGATTTGCTAGGCTCAGTCTTCTTTCTAATAAATAAGATATGTAGTAGAGATGATGTATTTAACATCTGCTCTGTTCTGGAAGGTTTTCCTTGTAAGTATATTTAGTAGTCTCAGATAAACACCATCAAATGTAATGAGACAAGTGGCTAGGAGAAGAAAGTAAAAAAACCATATAGCAGTATTTTCAAAATTGCAGAAGCTTAGTAATCTCCCATGGCCATGGGGATTCAAAAGTGATTCAGATCAGTTCTAGCATAAGATAAAAAATACTGCTAATCCAAGTGGGGGCAGACAGATAGACGGCTCCACAGAATATTTACTGTGAAGCTGAATAGAAAAAGAGAACAAGTAGTAGAAAAAAATGCCTTTCCACAATGTGCTTCCAGAGGGAAAAGTGTTACCTATGATAGAGGCATGGATAACAGACAGGTCTGATGTATGTCAGTGGCTCAAAGAAGCCAAGTCTGGTTTGCTCAGGATTATAGACAGAAGGCTCCCGGAGCATGGACCAACAACTTGGTCTCAAGGGATTCTCATGAGGCTCTCCCTACCCTGCTGCACCCAGCTTTAAGCAACAGTGTTCTAAAGTAAGTTGGAGGATGCCTGGGTGGCTCAGTCATTAAGTGTCTGCCTTCGGCTCAGGTCATGATCCCAGGGTCCTGGGATCGAGTCCCACATCGGGCTCCCTGCTCAGCAGGAAGCCTGCTTCTCTCTCTCCCACTACCTCTGCTTGTGTTCCCTCTCTTGCTGTGTCTCTCTCTGTCAAATAAATAAATAAAATCTTTAAAACTAAATAAATAAATAAAGTTGGAGAAATTTTAGATCTACAACTGCCATTAAAATGATTCGTGGACCGTGAAAAAGTTTCAAACAATAATACACAAATGCACTGCTTGGCTATGTGATGAGCAAACAGAATGTGAAACTCTTATCTGACAGCTACCAATACCAATGAGAAGATATATATGACCACGAGAAGACCAGGAGGTGTTAGGAGAGGAATTTAAGGGCAAAGAAATAAAGTCTTCCCAAAGGGAAGGGGCAGAAGCTTTACTTTTCAGGACAACAGCCTAGAAAGCATAGCAAATGAATCCTTCTGTCCTTCTGGAGGGAGAGTGGGAGGGGGTTCCGGGGCGTAGAAGCACCCAAAGCTACTGATTAAGTTTCTTTCCATACTAACATGTTGAAATAAATTAAAACTCAAAAATATGTCTCACATTTAACTATCTAATGGGACTTAAAACGTGTTAGAAATTCACCATTTCCTACTCCAACCAGCCAAAGACACGAAGTAATTACAGTGGTTATAATTATTATCAAGTTACCTTGAACACAAATGCACTATACTGATACCTACCTAAGGAAGGCTATTTAAACTACATGCTTCATAAGGAACGGCTATCATCTGCATAGGCATTTATTGAATAAAACACGTGAACAGTAACATTAAACCTGGATTTTTGTTTTAGTTCAGGTGGGTCCTTAGCCTATAGAGGAAGAACAAATATTTTCCAGTTCTCCTTAGGGGCACACCCAGCCCTGCTGGCCTTGCTGGTACAATGTGTAGCAGCTGTCATCAGTTTGTTCCAGAAATTCCCCAGCATGCTGGGAACACTCTTCCTGCTACATAATGGTAGTGGAGGAGGAAAGTGACACAGAGAAAAGCAGCACTGCCAAAGCTGTGAGGGAACAAGGGAAGAGATTATGGAAAAACCCAAAACAAGGAAGAAGGATTCAGAAGGGGAAGACAAATGTAGGCAAAACAGAGCTCCCAAAGCCCAGGGGAGCATTTACAACATAGACTGATGTAGCCAGTCCCTGCTTCTCATCTCTGTCGCCAGCACATCTTACAGACATGGAGTCAGCAACCCCTCCTTTAACAACCGAGTATTGAAACAAAGCCCTCCACTGAGCACTTTCAAGGATACCTTGAGTCCTTGCCAGGGTAGGCTGCCTCGAAGGAAATACATGAACATATGGCCTAGGGCTTCCAAATCATCCCGTCGGCTTTGCTCTAAAAGGAAAACAGATCACACATTATGTTTGCAGTTATTAAAGCAGAAAGGGGTTCAAAACCAAGTAATCCCTTCAGAAACCCTTCTGTCTCTGGAAAGGCTCTGCGCTTCCTCATTCTTTGTATATCTAAACCAGGGATAGTATTTTAGATCAAAACCAAAAAACATTGTGTACTTCCTTTGCTGTCACTGGCAAGTAAATAGCAAGGGAAAAGAGCAAATCCTAAACTAAAACCAAATCCAAATCCAAATCACTAAATGGTGAGTAACCACCCCTCAGTCATTGTTGTCACCTTCCTGAAAGTAAGATAACTTAAACGAAATGTTACTTCCGGTATATGAGCTACAGTTACCCTTGGGTGACCATCATGGAAAGTGAGAAGCAGGTTAAGCAGCTGAAACTTTTAAATAGTCCATTCTGGCTAGGCCTGCAAAGACACAAGCTGCAGAATGCCTAGCATACATGTCGAGTGCTTTTAATTCATCATAAAAATTAACAATCCATTTGTTCCATGTTCCATAGCCACCTTAAAAAAAATTTAAAATGTATTACTTAAGGTGCCCTTTATGGGCACATAAAACAGGATCCCCACATTCTGGGAGCTTATCGTGTAAAAAAGGTTGCTAGGTTTTTCTTTCCTTTTAATTGGAAAGACTAAGATGATAAAGAAACAAAGAATACTTAACAAAAAACTATCATTTCATCTCAGATAACATCCTTATGTATTCTTGGGTTGTCAGACTGAATAGAAGTAGTACATGCCTCTATTCCTTATTTGCCAATTATGGCTCATCTCAGACATCTTATGTGTTTATTTCTCAGAATCAAATTTAGGGCCTTATCAAGAGAAATTAGAGACAAGACTAAGGGGCTACTCTAAACTCAATCATGCTTTCTTTGTGCAGAGGGGAAAATCTAAAAGGCAGGGAGGCAGGGAAAGCTACTCAGCTCAAAATACAAAAGCACAACATGTTTAAGGGCTGCCTCCAATTATGGGAAATGTGCATGAAAAAGAGTGAATAGAACTCTACAGGGCAGATGAGGAAAGAAAAGGCAACTTTCTAAATTGCGGTTTGAAAACTGTTTTTGGCAAGGTGGTTGCTAATGGGAAAGGGAGGTACCCTGACCAGAGAAATAACATAAAATTGAGTGGATGCACTCAATCTTTAAAAGAATGAAATAAAACAGCAAGACCAACAGAAGTTTTTGTCTATACACTTGCCTGAGGTTTACAACAAATTTTATATGTAATTGAAAACAAAAAGCCGTTAGATGTAACAGAACCTAAAGATACACAATAAAAAAGAAAGTACAAGCAGGGTGAGTTGAGGCCTCCCACAAAGCAGGGCAGATAGAGGAACCACACCCTGCAGTTTCTCACACTGTATCACACCTACTCATTGACTTTCCATTTTTATATCCGCTTCCTCTAACAAGAGGCCCCTTGGTAATAAAAATTCACTGGACAAATGGTTGCACTTTTGTTAGTTGAGCACTAGAGGGCGAAACTCTCCACATTTTCAATATTGATCAGCACTTCAGAAAAAAGCCCAACTTCCTCTCCACAGAGAAGCCCATTATAAAAGTTTTTTTTTAAATCAAAACAAACAAACAAACAGAAAACACATGTAAACCCACTGGAATAACTAATAAAGTGGTTTTCCAAATACTGAGCACCATGAAAAATAGCTGTGGAATATGGACTAATAGGAAGAACAATGGCTCCTGAGTCTGGGTATCTAGCTCCTAGCCCATTCTTTCCATTAATTTGATCCATGTGAAATCAAGCATGGCCAAGTCACCTATTTTGGGCTGCATGCAGTCCCCTCATCTGAAAATAAAGTGGTTGATTTAGATAATCTGAAAAGTCATTTTCCAGTTCTAAAATTCCAAAGTCATTAATTTGAGCCATTAGTAATTAATCTGTGATAATTTAAGCCTTTCCAAAAAAAAAAAAAGGTGAAAACCAGAGTCATGCTTTATTTCCATACTTCTTTGAAAACTCCACATTCATTGAATTCAGCGTTTCCACATGCCCTCATATGTTTTTTCATGAAGGATATTCTCCTTTTCAAATAAGAAAGGTTTTAATATGAGTGGGGCCAGCAGGACACAATTTTTCCACACCATAAAGGCCTGCTCTCAATCATTCAGAAAGATGCTTGGTTTTACATGTGTCACATCCCTGATTCTAGGTCAAATTTATTTTGCTGGAGGAAAGTGGCTAGGTGACCCAGAGTTCTCACCCTAACTTCAACCATTAAAGAATACAAAATCAAAATGGGCTACCTTAATCAGCAAGAAGGTGGCTAATCTGATGTGGTAATGTCAGGTTTAGGAGGCTTTTTCCCTTGTTCTCCCTCACAAATAGACAATGCTCTCCAAGTCATTTGAAGATACCCTTCTCTTTTTCTTCATTAGAACATACAGAATGCTACACATTTAAAAACCAGTATGATTTGAGTTCCTATGGAAACCTCTCTGCTTTGAGACCCGGACCAGAGTTTAAAGCCCATGTGACAACCATCTATATGTATTCTCTGTAATATGGAGAGGACAAAATACGTGGACAGGTTCAATGTGACCTGGAAAACTCTGGAACGCAGGAAATTCACATTTGGAGATAAACTCAAAGTTCCAGCAGGAATGGCTACACCAAGAGATGAAAGAACCCAGTCTGATGACCATACATGCTTAAAACATACTTTGTCAAATAAATAACTACCATTTAGTATCTTTGCTACCATGAGGCACTATGCTAAACGCTTTATATACTTTATCTCTCAGAATCCTACAGTATAAGGCACTATTATCATATCCATTTCACAGATGAGATAACTGAGGCCGAGGGAAGGTACTGGACCCAAATCACATAGCTTTAAGTGCAGGAGCCAGGATTTCCATCCCTTCTTCTTAACCATTACCTTGTACCTTACACAAACATAACACAGACACCTATCCCTTGTCTCTTCTTGCCTTTCCTGACAAGAATAATAAAATCAGAACACAAATTGCTGTGTCTAGGAAGCAGGCATTAGAGCAACTTCTAGAGTCTGTCAGTTAAACCAAACAATCATGACTTTACTATTTACGACACAGTCTGTCTCTTAGTAAAAAGGAAGGAAGAGGGAATAATGAACACTATGCAAGAGACCTATGTTACATACATTACTCATTCAACCCACAAACACATCCTTGTGAAATATTACTCTCATTTTACAGATAAGTTTCAGGAAGATTAGGTAACTTCTCCAAAATGACACAGATAATAAGTGGCAGAGGACCTTCTGATCTAATCTTAAAATATTACATTTAATTGAGGATTTCCATATGGTTACTAAAAAAATCTTGACAGCATTCATGATTTCAATTCAAGTTGTATCACTTTGTAATCTGATTTTTACTCCTAACACTAGAATCCTCATCTGAATACCTATGTAGTTTACTCAACAAGGCAACTTTGTAGCCATTTAGTCTTTAAAACACTTATTAATGTACATTAATGTACAAAAATTCATTAATATTTAAACACCCACTATAATTAACTATGTCTAGGAGTATGAGACCTGGTAACATTCTGTTTACATGTCTACTCTCAGGAGTGGTGATTTTCAAACATTTTTTTTCAATCACTTTGAAACCTTTTCTTCAAACAGAATCTTCCATGGAAGCCCAATATATAAAATAGATAAAAAGGGAAGCTTTTCTGAAGAAGCTAGTGAGGGGCCCAGGGCCTTATCTATTTGGCTTCCCACTGTTCCTTAGGCTTCTCTTTAAATATTCTCCCCTGGATTAGTTCCTCTTACAAGTAAGGTCTTCTGCCTTGATTAGAGCTTTTAGTAATATTTGTGCAAATTGTCTATCCTAAATAAAATGCAAGACTTATATATTTTCATTGAGTAAGAAAAGACATAGGCTCTTCCTCAAAGTATTATTCATGGAATTATGCACAGTGAACAGAAGCCGAGTCCATGTTTCAGCAACACACCCTTCCCCAATACAGATACCAACCAGCATGATGTCCTTTCAGGACCATCATTATATAAGGAGTCATTCCTATGTAAACACCAAATTCATCATTAGACTTACTAAAATGATATCATCTTAATACAACAATTCAAGTGCCCACACTGCTGAGAAACTAAGCATTTGGAAACAGTATAAAGAATTAAAAATGTTTAAGTTGTCAACAGGATACTTAGGAAAGTAACTTAGCACCTTAGGTTTTCAAGTATAAAAATCACTTGCCTTGTGAAACAATAAGAATCACAAGTTGTAATGCACAATGGGGACAAAAGTATTATTGGAATAAAAAGTTATTTTAAGGACCCGCCCCTTTCATGGAGCAGAAAATAAACACACCTTTGCCAAGATGCGTGTTGATAGACATATATCTTGCAGTTCCAGTTAAACTTTTGTGCTCCCTATAAGGTATGTGTTTTTTGGTTTCAGGGTCAATGTATTCCTTGGCCAGGCCAAAGTCTATAATGTGTATAACATGCTCTTTCTTATTGCCTTGTCGGCCAATCAGGAAGTTCTCTGGCTTCACATCTCGGTAAATGAGATTTTTTGAGTGCACATATTCCATTCGAGAAAGCTAAAAGAGAAAAAAACATCAATGAAAATATTCTAAAGAAGTTTATTGGGGGAAAAAAACATCAAAACATTTTCTTTTATCAGTCCAGGGTTTTAACTACTGAAATGAAAATAAAACTCATTTCTTTACCACCCAGTCACTTCACTCTTATAAACCAGAAAATATTCTCTGATACAAATATATACATAACAAATATCAAGATAAATGAAAGTGGGACAGCACTGTTCACTAAAATGATAATATATAGTTTTACCTCATAATGTTACAATTTATAAATGACGAATACAATTAGGTGTTTTTAGGCTACTTCAGAAAGCACACATTTGAGAGGCAAGAAGATCCCCAGCCAGGATTATCACAATACGTCTGTGGCCTCTGAAGACAGGTGCCACTGCCACATTCACCTCCTGCCTCAATTCCACCTCACCACCACATTCACACCTTCCTATCCTCAATCCAACACGACTCCCCAACCTAGTTCTTTCTGTTACAAAAATATGGGAAGCGAGATCCAGAGAAGTTAGTACTGGATTTTGATTTCATAGAGCTAACTAGCAACAGAGAGAAAAGTGCAGTTTTTATGTGAAAGTAAATACAGCCCAAAGTAATAATCATAGAATTACTTCAGGGGCACCTGGGTGGTTCAGCTGGTTCAGCAGCCAACTCTTGATTTCCACTTGGGTCATGATTTCAGGGTCCTGGGATCGAGCCCCATGTTGAGCTCTGTGCTCAACAGGGAGTCTGCTTGAGGATTCTCTCTCCCTCTGCCCCCCCCATGTGCATGCACACTCGATCTCTCTCTCTCTAAAATAAATAAATCTTTAAAAAATTATTTCAAATTTCATTAAGTTTTATTTCCATTTATGTTTCTACTTAGCATAGAAAGGGAAGCTCAGGCATTTGAATTTTGGACTCAAAAGTCAAGGTCAATTTTGGACTCAAAAGTCAAAATCTTTTTTAAGATTTTATTTATTTATTTGACAGAGAGAGACACAGCGAGAGAGGGAACATAAACAGGTGGAGCGGGAGAGGGAGAAGCAGGCTTCCCGCCGAGCAGGGAGCCCAATGCGGGACCGGATCCCAGGACCCTGGGACCATGACCTGAGCCAAAGGCAGATACTTAATGACTGAGCCACCTAGGCGCCCCTCAGGGTCAATTTTTTTTAACATTTCCAAGCTTTTACTGTAAAGTGGGTGAGACCATTACCATTTCAGACCAATAAACATGCATTTGCATCCTTCCTCTGAGGGGCTGACAAACTCCTCAAAGGAACTGCCTTAACTGCTCTTGAACTGGCACTGGTATATAATTTGGTTGGAGTTGAGAGAGCTATCCCTTCAGCTCTGCCAGTCTCTATGAGAAGTAGAGGCCAGAGAACTAAGGCAGGTTCTTGGACACACAACTTTGGAATCTGATTGTTTAGGGCAGTGGGTTACATCACCAATCCTTTCTTGGATGCAAGGGTGAGGGGAGAGGACAGAACCTTAAATCCATGTGTTTAAAACCTATAAATAAAACATCAAGGAAATTACTTGCATTTGTACAATTTCACCTAATCATCCTCTTTCTCCTCAATCTAAATTATATGCTTCTACTTCAGTTAAGGGCAGGGTGTTGCTCCAAGGTGCAAATTCTTAAAATAGAGCGAACAGAAGATGCAGTGTGACTTCTCTAGGTTAACCCTTTTTGCCCGGCCTGCTTCCTAGAATGCCATCAAGCCTCTGAGTGTGCATTCACTAGGTGTCACTACAGCTGGGAAAGCACTAAAAGGGTCACAAGGATGTAGGGGACCCACCTATCTTTCTGCAGAATAGCAATGCCAACTTACCAACTGGATGGCTATCATTAACACCGTCTTCAAAGTAAAAGTTCGGTCACAGAGGTCAAACAAATCCTCCAAGCTAGGGCCAAGGAGCTCCAGCACCATGGCATTGTATTTCCCACATGGTCCGAAGTAATACACCTGTGGAAGACCTTCACCTGCAAGCAGAGGGGAAAAGGGGTACAGAGTGGGGGACATAAAACCCAAAACATGAGATAGCTCCATCAGCACTGAGTAGATATACAAAAAGCACAATTTGTGAGATTTCCATTTTCTTTCATAGTCCCTCTGGAGAACCTAAACTGAGCACAGCAGCTTCAAAGGGAACTAATAATGGGCAGGAAAGGCGAGCCACTGCACAATGGCCTCAAATAAGCAGCTATTTTATACCAGAGTGACAAAGGTATTTCCACTGCTGTATAAGACAGAGAATGGTCCCTGATCCATTACTGGATCAGAGCATAAACTATTCTCCCCCAAGGAGGCCCGAAAGTGCACTGTCATAAAAGGTTCAAAAGACAGCTCACTGCGCTCAAAGCCAGCCCACCTGGCCCTGGTGCATTAGCCAGTTTCATCTGCGCTCCTTATGCTTACTGCCAACGCCACATGGGCTGTTTGCAGCTGTTGCCCCAAGAAGAACTCGGACTGAAGGGCTGAGGTCACAGAGGGTGCAGCCTGACGCTCTTCTCACAGGGAGTCTCTGTACTTTCCTGTTTTCTATCACTGGGGCAAAGTCAACACACAGGGTTCGGTTACTGTAAGTAATTCTCAAAGGAAAAGGAAGAAAGAAAGAAAAAAAAAAAAGCTGGGCTTTCCCCAGATTTGAAATTCATAGCTCTAAGATGCCAAAATTTAGACTTTCTCACCTAAGTGGCAGCTTGTGAATGAATTTCCTCTTTAAAGTGTATTGTAAATATGAGGCATTCAGTAAATAAGTGTTAAATGGCACCATGTGAACAGTGGATGCAAACAAGACGTTTTAAAAAATCTGGTCTCACAGAGCAGAAGCACTTCCATCTTACACATTTATATATACCATGGTCTGCAGTTGCTTCTGCCTACAAAGTTTTTTAGACGACGAAATTCCCTCCCTCTCCCCATTCTCTTTATATGTACAGGCAGGATACAAGCAGAGGTGATTCTCTCTGCTATAATCTGAATGCTTATGTCTCCTCAACCCCCAATCCTCAAATTCATATGTTGAAAACCTAATGCCCAATGTGACGGTTTTCAGAGGTGGGACCTTTGGGAAGTGATTAGATCATGAGGGCAGAACCCTCGTGACTAAGATCAGTGTCCTTATAAAAAAAAAAAGACCCCAGAGTGCTCCCTAGCCCCTTCCATTGTGTGAGGACACAGCAAAAAGTCAGAAGAGGGTCTCTGCCAGAACCTGACCATGACGGCACCCTGATCTTGGATTTCCAGTCTCTGGAACTGTGAGAAAGACATTTCTGACTTCATAAGCCACCCAGTCTGTGGTATTTTGTTACAGCAGCCCAAAAGGACTTAGACAGTATCTACTACTTAAACCTCTAGCCCAGTACGCCCATCCTCGTCCGCAGGATAACCCTTGTCTGTCTGGGGTTGGTGTGCTTCATTGCTACGACACGTATTCATGCCTCTTCCATGCGCTGCGCCGTCTCCCTTGTTCCATCTAGGTGCGGAGCGACTTGAGTGTTTTGATATGTTCACCCCTAGCTCCTATCATCGAATGTAGTAAACTCTGCTCCTGCCAGCTCCATTAATATCCACTCAACTGTCCTTGTAGCTGTTTGATTCTCCCTATCTCTAAAGGGAAACAAGATTTAATTTGAAGTGTCTTTTTTTCCCCTGTTGTTTTGAACTCATTTTTCAGTTTATTTAAAATACATAAAACCTAACAGCTGTTCCCAGTAAGTCCTGCTGAAAAATCCAAAGCAGAACACCACGGTACAGAATCATTGCTTTTATTAATCAGACATATGGTAGACGGTAGTTTGGGGATTTTTCAAATTTATATCCTATATAATAGTTTTTGATGTCACTAAAATTTGATTTTCCTAATATAAATATTATATTCTTCAAAACAGCTTGTGGCAGATCTGTTAGTTGCCTGCCCAGTGTCCATTCTCTTCTTCTTACTTAATAACAAAACTTCTAATTACTGTGATTAGCAACCTGCCCAGTTCTAACTTTACAGCCTCTCTCGATAACAGGAATGACTAGTGAGAGAGAAGCAGAAATTGCTAGTTGAGGTGGTTCTAGAAAAGCTCTTTCACGGGAGCTGACTCAAGTTGGAAGTAGGCCCCCTTTGACAATGGCTCAAGCTCCAGAAGCCATCTAGTACCACCAGACAACTTGAGGATATCAGTGCCAAGAATGAATGGAACAAAAAAGAAGAAAACCTGAGTCCCCGATGGCTGTGAAGTAACCAACGTTGGACTTCCCTTCCCTCTGGACTTTTTAATCCAAAAGAAGAATCAATCTCTACCTTGACTGAACTGTTATTTGTACCTTTTTTCATAGCCAAATCTTACCCTAATTAATAAACATATTATTCTTTTAGTTGGTTAAATTGCAAATTTGGGCACAATATCCTCCTTCTGAAGTACAAGCTAAAAGTCAGGCCTGCTCAGAAATATAATACTGACATAATTTCCTAGACTTGCTGCCAATACTTAAGGATCAGTTTAAATGAGACAAATAATCACCTTGTTCTTGACCATCTTTACTAGCAAATCTAGGCATCTCTTGTCAGATATTTCCATGTTTACAAAAAAGTCACAAAAGCATTCTGAATGATGTCTGTAATTTCTATGTATGAGTTCTATCACTCATAACTCCACCCTTGTACCTTCAAAGATGTGAGGTGTTCCTGCTGGCTGCATTACTGCTCCTTGTATTAAATATCTTGAGGCCTCACAATACTCTGGCAGGCTTCAGATGCCCAGGGCAACTTCTAGATTACTGAGCAGCTTGAAGCTTTTCTCAAAGATGGACTAGGTCCAAGATGCTACTGTAGGAAGGGTTCAAGCCGGTCTCTGATCTAGTATTTGGTTCTGCTACCAACCCTGAAAATTCCTTCATGTCTCTCTACTTTTTCATCTACAAAGAGGAGGGAAATGTTTAGACTGGTTTCCTTTTAAAACCAAAATTCTGACAATAGCTAGAATTTCCTTCTAGCTACCTACTAGGTTCCTCTTTGTAAAGCCATAGAACCCATATGAATGATGCATGACTCCATGTTATACAGAATAGGTGTGGGTCAAATTAGAAGGTAAGCTGGTAGTGGTAGTCAACCGGAAATGTGTCTATTAGAAACATCTCCAGGGATGCCTGGGAGGCTCAGTTGGTTAAGCGTCTGCTTTCGGCTCCGGTCCCACATCAGGCTCCCTGCTCAGCAGGGAATCTACTTCTCCCTCACCCTCTGCCCCTCCCCCTGCTTGTGCTCACTTGTGCTCTCTCTGTCTCTGTGTTAAATAAATAAATAAATAAACTGGGTGGCTCAGTCGTTAGGCGTCTGCCTTCGGCTCAGGTCATGGTCCCGGGGTCCTGGGATCGAGCCCCGCATCGGGCTCCCTGCTCAGTGGGGAGCCTGCTTCTCCCTCTCCCACTCCCCTGCTTGTGTTCCCTCTCTCGCTGTGTCTCTCCCTGTAAAATTAATAGAATCTTTAAAAAAAAAAAAAAAA